GCTTACATTTTCAACCTTTGAATTTGAGATTTAATTCTCATCCTATATATGAGGCTGATGTCAAAATAAATGCTGTTTTTCCGATTTTAAACTTAGAAAAATTTATTTATATTTATGTAATGTACTATTTTAAAATGCAAATTTTGTTATTTTGATTTTTTTTTGTTTGTTTTTTTGTTTTGTTTTTCTTTTGTCAGTTTACTTTAGGCTGTCAAAGTAACAACTAAAAATAAATGATTTTATTGTATGAATTCAAAACAGAATGTAAAAGTGTTCATAATCAAACATTGTTTGAAGAAAGAGTGTGTTGTGCCAATCTCCAAAATAAGGAGAGATTGTACCTTGAAAATCAGAATTCAACAAAATCCTGTCTTTTAACTGCGCTCAAACATCAAATGGAAAAAAAAAAAGACTAGGTCAATCATGAAGAAATATTGCACCAACACAATGAGTTAATGACTTTCATTATATTTTAGGTACATAAATATTTTGTCCATATGCCAGAATAGGCTGTTTCAAAGATTTACACACATTTTTTCCCAGAATTTTAATTTTAGTCTTCTAAGCCAGTGTCAGATAGTGGTGAGATGTAAACAAATTAATATTAAGCATAACAACAATCAAACAATTACCATTACTTTTACATCATTGTTGATTTTGATAACATTGTGTCAATAAATACCTTCACAAGAGAAAATAGCCTGAAATCAAAAAGCAGCAACTTCTGACAAGGTATGAAACTCCATCCTGCAATCCAGGAACCCATCTTTCATAAACGTCACCTAAATCTGGGGTCAAGGGGTTCAATGCAAAGATGTAGTACCTATCCGAGATGGCCTCTCGTGGCGTCTTTGACTGGCCCCATGCACCCAGCACCATTTGATGCATCTCAAAGCACTTTTGTACAGCTAGTCTGTTATTAGCCTCTCTATAGTGAATGGCTGATCGTACATGGTGAAGAGTCACACCCTGATATGCATGGGCATAGACAGAACATGGAGAATCTAGGAGTCTAACCTCGATAAATATTCTTATATTCTTTACGGGTAGTTGTAGTTCCTGTGGCAATCATCGACAAACGGATGCTTCAGTAGAGAGAATGTAGTAGCTTCGTGGACGATCATCCTGCATGGCAACCAGAAGATGCATTGCTCCAGTTAGCAGAGAAATGTAATATATCTATAGTAGCGGCGCACATAGATGTCATTAGCCATCAAAAGATTCAAATGACAGTTCCAAAAAAATTTAAGCATGTACCGCCTTGCCCATTGTACAGGTAAAAAAAAAAAAAAAAAAAAAAGGGCGTCCTGCAAATCTGGCATGGCATGCAATCAAAAAGTCGGCTACTACGCCAAAAACAAATCTACTTAGGTATAAAGAAAGGACCCACATTTCTACATTCAACACCAGAACACTACCCAGCAGCTTTCAATTCGGTCAACTCACTGCTGTGGCCGTAAATTACAACCAAAATATCCTTTGTGTTCAAGAACACCATTTCTTCCATGAAGATGTTTTTCTGTAACATTATGACATAGGAAAAGAATGGAGACTCATCTCATCAGCTACAAAAAAAAAACAAAATAAAAAAAAAAAACGCCAATGCATCGGTTAGAGGGGTTGGTATACTGATGAAACCCTAAAAAAAAAAAAAAAAAAAAAATCAAAATAACAAAATTTGCATTTTAAAATAGTACATTACATAAATATAAATAAATTTTTCTAAGGCCCTTGATAACATTGAATCAATAACACCACACATTATTGTCACATCATTCAAAGGAAACCCAAAAACCACAATTGTTTGCAGCTACAGCCCAACAAACATAGCTGAAGAAGATGAAATAGAGCATTGCTACAATGACCTATCTTCTCTCATTCGACAAATACCTCATCATAATGTCATAATGATCGGCGGAGACGTCAATGCTAAACTGGGTAAAAATGACATCTACAAACACTCATTCCATGAAAACACAAACAGAAATGGAATGCTGCTACATAATTTTATAGCGAGAACAAAATGGTCTCTCTGAACACAAAATTTCAGAAGAGAAAAGGAAAGAAATGGACATTTACATAGGCAAACGGTGTCAGATCTCAAACTGATTTCATTCTCATCAACAAAAAAATAAAGTGTGGTAAATTGTGAACCTTTCAACGCCTACAGTACAGTGAGCTCAAACCAGCACATTCTCATTGCCACCATTCAGCTTAGTCTCAGAGCCAATAAGCCCAAAACCCTTATGACTGGTCTGCATTGCGCAATAGTGATATCACCTACCAGTTCAAGATTTCCCTTAAAAACCATTTCAATGCTCTTCAGGATGAGAACACTGAAAACTCTGCAAATTGAGCATATAAAAACTTTGAACGAGGCTGTGCACAGGCAGCAGATGAAATAATCCAAGTGAAACCAAAAGTCAACACTGAAAGTGAAGTGGTAATCAAGAAATGAAACGATTTGAAAAAAGCTGAACAGAACAAAAACGCAAACCCAACGAGAGAAAGCATCTCCATTGAACTGTTCAAGTTGTTCTCAAAGAAACATATGACTTGGAACAAATAGCATTCATACAAGCCAAAATCGATATTATTGCGAATGCATCTTTAAACAAGCAAGCAGCGACTGCATGGAAAACAGTCAATGAAATCCGTGGCCAAAAAAGCTGTAGCAAAACCAAGCTAAAGGCTATTGATTAAAATGAAAGGATTAGCAAATGGAAAAAACATTTTGAAGACCTGCTTGTCAAGCCTCCCACAATTAAAGAGAAACCCACACATAGAATAATCGAATAAGAACTCAACATCAAGAAAGGAATTTTCAACATGAACGAACTGACAGCTACAAAGAAGCAAATAAAGCATAGAAAGGCATGTGGATTTGATAACATCCTTGACCTGAGATCTGATTGACAGATGACTGACAATCGGTTACTCACATTTTGCAAACCAGTTTAAAAGGGTGTAAAAGCCAAGAACCTCAAAACTGTGCTTGTATTTGTTGATTTCTCCAAAGACTGATTCTATCCATCGTGGCAAACTCAAACAGATCATGTTAGCACATGGGTTCCTGCAAGAGACAGTATCAGTCATCATGATACTGTATAAGAACCCTCACTCAATGGTTCGATAACTCGATGGAGTCTGTCAACGTTGTCATGGGAGTCTTGCAAGAAGTTACTCTTGCCCCTTTCCTTTTCATTCTGTGCCTAGATTACGCTCTGTGAACATCTGATCTAAACACAGATCTGGGGTTCACCCTTGAAAAAGCAAGAAATTCATGTCACCCAGCAAAAACAGTAACTGATGTTGATTACACAGATGACCTTGCTTTGTTGTTAGACATGATTGATAAAGTTACTAAACTTCTCCATCTCATTGAAGAAGTGCCCAGTGAGATTGGTCTAATTAATTAATGCTGGCAAAACAGAATTTATCAGCTACAACCAAGAAGGAGAACAACATTAAATCCGTCCAGGAATTTGTTTACCTTGGCAGCAGTCAACGGAGAAAAACATCAAAATCCGCAAAGGCAAGGCCTGAGGTGTCCTTGATGGTCTGAGCACCATCTGGAAGTCCTCCCTCTCTGACAATCTTAAGAGGGACTTCTTTAAGGCCACAGTAGAATCTGTCTTGCTCTATGACTCAACAACAGAGACGCTGACAAAACACCAAGAAGCATCACTTGACGGAACATACACAAGTTGCATTGGACATCAGCTGGAAGAAACACCTAACAAATAAACACCTGTATGGACATCTTCCTCCTATCTCAGTTTCGCTAAGACAGAGATGGCTTCAGCTAGTTGGTCACTCCTGGAGAAGTAAGTTAGAACTTGAGAGACACCTTCCTATGGAACCCATTGCAAGGCAAAAGATCAGTTGAAAGACCTCATCACACCTACATTGACCAACTTGTAGATGACTCTGGGTGCCATCTGGAAGACCTGCCGACAGCGATGTCTGACAGATGTCAGGCGAATCTGAGAAGAATTCTCGACCTGATGATGACCTAACAACTTCAGCCACAAAATCTTCATTGTTTAAGTCGAGCACAAATCTGTCATTATTTTGTAATAATGACAGATTTGTGGATTCAAATAATAATGATAAATTTTAGGATTCCTCCAATGATGAAATAATTTATTAATCTAGAGAGATGTTAAAAAGCAACAATAATAAACGAGAATAAAGTTAGGAATAAAATAATGGTGAAAATGCTTCTAAAAATTTCAAAGACTTATCTAAATTTGGTTTAATACAACAACAGACAAAATTACTGATATTTGTCAGTTTCTGATTCAGTGTTTTTTTTTATAAACATCTAAAAAAGAAAAAAAGAAAAAAGTGTTCATTTCCATTGTCTGAATTTTGACAACTGCAACTCTTGTAGCCCCCTCCCCCATCCCTGCCACAAAAAAATAGTAGGAAGGTAAAGCAATTTAAGTCACTTAAATATTTAGTTATAATTATATACATTTTAATTACATGCATGCTAATAGTGAGAAATTTATTCTCAATGCAGATGACTGTTTCTTAGGATTCAACCAAAGAGAATCAATATTTAAGTTTGTCTAACTTCTTATTCTCCATAAAATTAAACTTGACAAACTAGAAGAATGGTCAGTTATGTGAATTGCAAAAATAAATAAATAAAAAGAACCAAAAACAAAAAAAAAAGTGAAACATTAAAAGTTATTTTTATTTTTCAATTTCTGATCCAAGTTACTGAGAGACATGGAATTTTCTTCACAGGTCCTGAGGTCATCAAATGTTTAAAGCAAAAAGACTTTGAGAGCAAAGAAATGAAAATGGGAAAAATAAATGAGAGGAATAAGAAAAATATCAGAAGTGTTGATGGAATGGATGTACCAGAGATGATGAGGTCTTTGCCTGTGTATACACCTCATTTTCTTGTAATAGGAACCAATTTGAAGCCACAGATGAAAGATGAAGGATGAAAATGATAGAACCAAGCTTCAGAATTTGCCAAGTTCTCAGTTGTAGATGAAATTGAATCTGGAAAAAAAAAAAATAAATAAAATAAATAAATCAATAAAAATAAAAACATTAGCAAATAATAACCAAGTTATTGAAATAAAGCAAAAAGTATTAAAGGAAGTGTGTTTAATCTACACTCAAATCTAGATATTGGGCATTATTCTTTCTTGGATCTCTAGGGAGATAAAGAAAAATGGTACTTCAAAGAAAATAATACTTACTTGATCATATGGCTTTCAAAGAAAAAAAAAAAAAATGTTATTTTTTTTTTTATATATCAATGACCAGCTAAAAAATTGCAAAGTTTTGATATTGTAAAACAAAAAGTAAACAAACATTTAGGTAAAAGCAAATTTTTTCTGAAAGTTTCAATTTTGTTGATGTCTTGGATGGGGGAAAAAACGTTCCTTGTTAACTTTATCAAGTAAAATAATTTGGAGAAAAGATTATGAGGAAATAAAAGGTGACAAGAGAGAGGCAGAGCTATGAAAGAGAGCCACATACAATGAAAGCTTGATACGGCCCTAAATAAACATCAGAGAGAGAGAGAGAGAGAGAGACTTGCATATACAGACATGCACACAAAGTGCACCTGTCAGCTGAAAGATTAAAGTACATAACAACTCTTCAATCTCTTAGCTTCACACATCACTTGGTTATCATCTACACAGACAGTTGCAAAAGGGTGGCAGTGAGAGTGTGGAGAAGAAGAGTTTGTTATAATATTCAGACCCAACAATTGCCAACCTCACCCACCCTGTCAAAGGCTGCTGCCTACCCCATTCCTAACTGCTACCCTTCCCCCCCAAGCTCTTTCTACTCCTATCAATTCTGTGGTAACTCTTAAATGCAAGGAGTTCTGTAACATTAGAGAATGTCTGCACAGAAGACATGCTGATGGCTGGACAATCCGGCTGAGAAACAAGGAAGCAACCAGGCAGGCAATCGAACCAAACTCAACTGGACAAGGGAGGATAGAAACATCAACATACAGCCGGGTGACAGTTGCTGGCCAAAAGTGGAAGAAGTGAAGCAAAAACCCAAGTCAGTTATTGCAGAATAGGGGAGAAGAGCAAAAGAAATGAGGGGTTTGCAAAAGAATGACTGACTCACCATTGCATAGATTCCCCAGCCCAGCCCTAGCCATCTTGTTTCTACAACCACTACCATTATCATCAAGATGGCTGAGGACTGAAAGAAAGTTGTGTAAGGGGAGGATTGACATTGTGTGTGTGTGTGCGCACACATATAAGGCATGCAAAAAGAGTGTACACAGAAACAGAGAAGAGAGAATGCATAAGAAACAGAAAGGGTAGAGTTGTAGCTTTGGTGACACTACAAAATCTTCTATTATGGAGATTTAAGGAAACTTGACCAAATCACTATGGATTGTAAAGACAGGATGAACATGCATTCAATATTATTTCTATTAAGGGTATAATTAAATTATATCTTATTAAGAACAATGCCAAAATTACACCCTCCAACCTACTCTGAATACTTACATGTACAACTACTGCCCATCATTATATCTGTTTACCTTATTAATTCCATAGAAAAACATTTCAAGTTATAAAATGGTATGAAACAAACAATAAAAAAGTATGGACTGAATGGAACACAAAATGTTGATATTAAGTCATGATTTGAAACCAAATAAGCTAGAATAAAGAATTTTCAGAAGACAGGCAAAAAAGTGTGCTTTTTCCCTGAACTTCCAAAAAGAAAACGAGCATACGCATAAAGTGCTGATTCAAAGATTAAATGTACAGCAGGAAAAAAATACCTTACTTTTACAGAAGATACAGGCAATTGAATTATCACTATAACCATTGCAAATAATGAAATTATCATTGAAGAAATATTCTATATAAACAATAGAATTTCAATTTGATCTATGTAAAAATCACACACACATCTTTATGTGATGATGTGCTGTAATGTTCACTGCTTGATCCAAGAAGAAATTGCCCAAGGTAAAACAATAAAATAACAATGAAAGAATTTCAGATCACTTCTCTCCTTTATAGAACCTTCAAAGCAAACAGGTATTTCTATTTTCTATTCATAATTACTAAAGATCCAATTAAAAGAGTTTTCCTTTTTCAATTATAAATTTCCTTAAAATCAAGTTTTTACAATTATTTATCTTTCCTATATAACCAATTTCTCCAACCTAAAAATATACTTTAATGCAAAACTGTCATAAAATTTTACTTCTGCAGTTGCAAATCCACATATATCAATAATAAATTTGCCAATAATTTTCTTTTTTTTTTTTTTTTTTCTAATTTCAGTGTCGAGTAAGGAAATAAAAATACTGATTAGATAATTAAAACTAGAGCAAAAAATAATAACGTCTTTCTAAAATTACCATATTCTATTTTACAGAAGGTAACGATTAAAGAAATTGTTCAAAATCAGCATGCTTTTGTTTGATTTGCTACAGGTATGCGTGATGATTTCAAAATGTCACTAACATGCATAGTTCAGAGACAAAAATGTCATTTGAATTTGTGGTATGTCAAAACCCAACTAGCGGATTCAATCTTCACATATTCCTTACAGCAAAGTACAGATTAGTTTCCCCATGTGATGGATAAATTGCATAAACACTTAATGGAGGTTGAAAATTTTAAGAGCACAATACAAACTGAGAATTTTTTGTCCCTGACTTAAAGCTAATTATTAGGAAACAATACTACAATAATGAATAAAAAAAAAAAAGTTATGCAAAATCTTTCAAAGCAAAATGTCCACAAAAAAATAAAACTGAAATGCCAGTTTGGAAATGTCAATATAAACTTCCAATGAAGCAACTAATCGATAAAATCTACAAAAATGGCTCTTATGAAATGAAAAGAAAGAACATTCTAATGACCTTTGAAAGGCTGTCAAAACCTGGAATAACACTTACCAGATGAAGAACATCAAATAAGATCATCTGATTTTAAAAAAAATAAAATGTTTTTATCTGTATAGAGTCTTATGTGTCCATAATTAGAAGAAAGTTAGACATATTAGCTCAAATGGAATGGGCCAAATATGTAACTATTTTTTTCTTGAATGCAGAAACTACAAATATTTTGAAATAAAAACTATAATGTATCTTACATTGAACAAATCCACATACAAGTACAAATTTATACACCATCTCTTTTGAGATTTCACTGTCTATTAAATCATTAGCTGACCATTTAAATGATTCAAGCCATAATGTTTAGGGCATGTTAATTCTGATAGTCATCAATTCTAAAATGGTAAGGCTTATTATGATGAACAAATTTTTTTCTTCAAATTTCAGTAGTAAAGTAATGAGTCTAGAAAGTTGTTTATTTTAAATGAGTGCCAAGAAAATAAAACAATGAATCACTGAAAGGCAGGAACATTAATTCTATTAACTTGCTTGCTTTCTGATAATTGCAGATTTTAAGTGGAGGAACAAACTGTTTTTCTTAGAGAGAGAAAAAAAAAATATTTTCCCCACTTGCTTTTCAAGTGGTCAATATCTGCAGTCAGGTGGGGCCCACCTGTCTGAAATAGTCAGCTGGTCTATTTCCATGGTTGTCCTGTCCAGTATTACACAGGACAGGCCAGTAAGTAGGGCCATCAAACAATGAACTTCAATGAAGAGGAAATTAGATTCCACACAGCCACAGATGATACTGTTAGGAAATGCAAGAACAAGACAACTGATATGTCAAGAAAAAGCAAAGGCATCATGATTTAGCCATTGCAGTGAGAAGGGAGAAAGAATGGAAGTGGAAGTGAAAGAATGGAAGAGAGGAAAATAAAAGGGAGAGACAATCAATTGGTTGGCTAGCTTCTAGGACTCCAACTGACCACAGCAGGGGAAAACAGAAAGAAGTTGAGATTCAACCTGTCATCATCAGCAGCAAATCTCTCAGACCTGATAAATATGTACCAAACAATAGAGCAACAAAGAAAACAGAGGATTTCTGGAAAGTTTCACACATTACAATAGAATAATGAAAAGGAGCATTTTAAGATATTATTATGCTAAGGGTCATCAGACACAAAAAATAACAAAAAGAAAACACCAAATTTAGTATATAATGATAGAAAGATGTAAATTGTTTAGTTGCAAACTGATTACATAAATATGCAGTTATGGAAGATACTGAACCAATTAAACTGGAAGAAATACTTTATTTCATTGCTTTTATTTTATCATTCAAAAGTACCCCCCACACACACACAAAAAATCAAAATTGTTTTTAAGATTATGTATTATATTTTATAAAAAAATTTATTAATAATTATAAATTTATTATTAAATTTATAATGGACATTATATACCAATGTTTTAATCATCAAAGGGAATACTATTTTTAGAAATCTACATTCCATATTTGACTAAATCATATTTTAAAAGTAAAAAAAAATAAATATATTTTTCTATACAATTTAATTGAATTTTCCAATTTTATCTGTAATAAAATAATAAAAAAATTTAATCAAACTATTATATTTCTTGCTTTATATGATGACAAGCTTTGGGTCCAAATAACTTCAAAGGGATTTTTTTTTTACAACCTACTGAACTTTTAGTACCAGTTTACTGGTAAAATACTCTGAAACAAATTACAGGGTCTAATATCTAAGTAGAATAGGTCTGTTCATTTGAGCAACTTTCTAGTAGACATTTGCTCCTTTTTGTGCTTTTTAGAAGCAGAAGTTGGTGAAGAAATTCATTTTTTTGTTTTTTTAATTTTCAATTGGATAGCAAACATAGAAAAACTAATAAGTTAGGGAGGGTATTTGAAAACAGGGGTTCCTCAAAACCTTGTTTACTGTCTGACACACATGCAAAGACAACAACAATTTAATCATCATTTTCTATTGCCCTGTCACCCACAACCCACTCCTCTAATCTCAACTACCAAAATAACTGACCCCAACCTCTCTCTGAGAAACTGAGTGGATAGCTTTGTCACAAGTGGCAGCACCTCCAAAAGTTGTGCACATTTATCCAGTGGAGCCTGAATAATATGGAT